GTGTGTGTGTGTGTGTGTGTGTGCGCATGCAGGTATTTAAACGGACAAGGAGATGATGGAGAGATGGAGGGAGTGAGAGAAAAAGAGAGAGAGAGACCTTTCCCCAAACTGGCCTCCTCTATCATGGGCTTGTAATTAGTCTCACTTCATTAATGCATCAGTGAGTCGAGCTAAATCAATGTTTTGTGATCATAAAATCTCAACTGCAGCTGCCGTCGCCCTGTTTTCCTTTTCCTGTGCGCTGCCAGTTCTGTGTGAGCGGATTATAAATCACATGTAACTCTACAGTCAACACGCTGTACGCAGAGGAACACTGATTTTCCATATGGGTGGGGACACTCGCCGCCGAGCCAAGCTGTCAGCAGACGAGACCGCGAAAGCTTCTCTCCCATTTGAATAACACCGCGTTCACGGTGATATACTGACGCAGCACAAACCTCCGGCAGCTCTTCATCAAACTCCTGACGCTTTAATGAAATATTCCAAATTTCAGCAGGAACATTAAGATAGAGACGAGTCCCTCAAGGAATCACAACGAGGCCGAAGATGGTGGCCGTCTGACCCACACCCCGCCCCCTCCCCCTTCCCTTGATAAGCCAATCGCGCGCTTAAAAAACAGCCGAACGAGAAACGCAGCCAGCCAATCACGTTGCTCTGACGGGAGTGAAACCATTAGCACGTCACTAACAGAATTCACAGTAAGAATTGATTGATGCAGTTAAAAATCATTTTACATCCGACTGTGGATCCGCGACCTTCAATGATCATCCTGCGCCGGTTAGAAGAACTGATTTGTGACCAGACTCAACTTTCTGTGACGTTAACGATAAGCTGTTGATTCACAGTGTGTTGATACTCCGACCAAATATCTGATTTATTGTCAAAATATCCAAACTTGTGGTACAACGTCCGACTCCAGCGACACTAAACTGCTCTGTGGTTTCCACTCTCCGCTCCACAAACGTCCACAATCTTTGCTTAACCTCAACCAAAGAGCTTCTGCTGCCCAAACCACAGATGGGACTCAAACTCCGGTCTCTGGTGTGACAGTCATGTGCTTTCTACGCCGGTTATCCACCACGTCCACCTCCTGGCAACGCAGCTGCTCTTAATAAATGTAGAGCTTCATTCATTCAGGAGATGCACCTCTGAGCACAATAAGTATTCTACAGTATCATCAGTTCTTATAGCTGCTCATGAATATAACTCCCAGCAGCTCTGGTTTAGTGTGAAGTCAAATGAAGTTAAATAAAAAGGTGTAATCTCAATCACCAGAAACTTTAACAGTTTAAATGTGACTCACTTTAAAATCCACCGACGCTATTTAGCTCCGCGCTCAACAGTCATCTGGTGAATTTTGTTCTGCCGCCACAGAAACGAAACCAGAAACGCACGTTGCAGGTTTTGACTTTACTGTGGATCTTTCGATGTCATGTTTTAGTTGAACCTGCTCAGTGCTCAGGGGTTTCTCTTGTTCACTGAAGACTGGCCGAGTGAATCTGAGGGACTTTCTGTTTACAGTAACTGAACAGATATAATCTGTGACCTTTTATCAAAAAGAGAACTTTGTCTTTTTTGTGTAAATCTGTAAAAATAATTCTAATTAAAAAATATAGAATAAAGTTGACTGGATTTTAAAAATGTGAATTTTAATTTTTTGAGATAAAGTATTTTTAATTTATGCCTTATTTTTTTGTTCACTTTCTCTCGGTGGAAATGTTTCCAGAGCTGTCATTGTACCAAGCAGGTTTTACTACTTATTTTCAAAAAGATTAAATTCAAAATGAAAGTAAACGACACTGCGATACACTTTCTGACCTGGGTTGTTTTTCTGTTCTCTGACTGTGGTACAATGAAAACACGGAGACAGTGACTGCTATAGATTTAAATCGAGTTATTTGCATATTAGAAATAGATAAATAACACTTCAAACAATATCAGGGGTTGAAAAGAAATCCGATCTCAGCGGGTGAGGCAGAACAGAAACCCCAACGGGCTTTTAAAGCAGCGCACCCAAAAGAAAGAAAAGTGACAGAAGAAAAGTGAGAATCAAGATGACAAACGGATGACAGCAGCGATCTGAAACTCCAGAACCGTTCGTCTGCTGTGTTCGTGTTTGTCGTTGGATTTATCGGAGGGTTTGAAATGTCAAACGCTCAGAGATCCGTTAAGAAAACAACTGAGACTTTGGGGAATGAGTGTTTTCAGGATTCCAACGCGCAGCCTCGGCCCGTCACTGCCGTCGTCAGGGAGATTTCACAAAAGAGAGATCGTCTCGTGACCTTTTGACCTTTAAGACACTCGGAAATCTTTTTACAGTCCTCGCTTTAATTTTTCTTTCTTTCTTTTTTTTTTTGCATGACGTGGCCAAAGGTTTGTGGACACCTGAATATTGCACAAAAATAATATAAATATGTAAAACTAAAACTTGGACCAGCAGCGTTTACAAACTTCTCCTTTCTTCAGTCTGGACGTCATGTTGAGTTTTCTTTCGATTCTTATTTCTACTTCCTTTGTTACTTTTTAATACATGTAGATATTTATTGACGGCACCAGGCTGCACATGGTCTTAAATATGTTTTCTGTCTCTGTGTCCTGCAGCGGCTGTGACCAGTGTCGGACTTAATAAAGCGGACCAGGTGGCCGACAGTTCACCAGGTAGGATCTGCATCTGATAACTGTGTGTGTGTGTGTGTGTGTGTGTGTGTGTGTGTGTGTGTGTGTGTGTGTGTGTGTTTGCAGAAAGAAAAAATCAGTGAAGTGGGAAGAAAAAGGTTGATTTTTTTAAATCGTTGTGAAATACAGTATGAGTAAAGTACAATGTGGAGGCATCTCACCGTGATAAGATGAATTCTAATCAATGAGATGAAAGTAGATGAGTCGTTCGAGGTGAAACCTCCCGACAGGAAGTGAGAGTGCCTGAAAAACAAGGAGAAAATGGAGGGAAAAGACCTTTTGTGATAATAAGCATCATTATGATTTAAAATGGCCGCAGCTTTTGTCATGAGAGAGAGCGAGAGACGAGGAGACGTTCGAGCTGCATTCATTTACCCAGAATTACTCTCGCTGCTTTTTCCCAGCTGGTTGTCGGGGCAACCGGCCAGCTTCGTTACCGGAGGTGTCACCTCAGCCGGGAGTGTAAATGAAAAAGCTCACGTTAACGGCGGCGCCGCCTGCCAGCGAGTAAAGTTTCTGTCTCCTCGCTGTACATGACGACCGCTCCGCTCTGTGTTCCCACGGCTGCTTCTTTACCCACAATACACTTTGCTGTATTTTTAAAATGTTTTTTAAATGAGTCAAACTGAAGACGCAGTGTTTTTTCAAGGTACAATGTTGACAACAACATGAAAAATGTTGAAATTTTGTAAAATGTGTCCCTGTTTTTTTTTGTTGGACAAAAACAAAGTATTTCTTTATTTCAACGTGACGCATCGCCTTTTCCGTCATTTAAAAAAAATGACGGTGGAATCACAAAGGAAACATTCTGTTGAGCCGACACAGATTAAAGACACGAGTGGAGATGGTTTCATGGATTGAAGCTGTGGTTTCTTCACAAAAGCTGATGACGACAAAATATTCCAACATCGTCGTCTCTGGTCTCGTGTTTGTTGAGAAATAGACGTCACAAGATTCTACTTTTTCTGACCGGTTGATTTTTCAAGATTTATGATTCAAAACTTGTACTCGACCGCTAATGACATTGATGGAAATGAATCTCCTGCTGTCGTGTCACACACAGAAGAAAAACACGATGCAAGAAGAAGAGACGATAGAATACCCAGAAGGAAATTTAAGGAAAATACTAAATGCTAAGGAATAAAATAAGAGTGAAATTTGAAATTAAACACATTTATCTGTTAAAATCAAGACACAAAAAACCTTTTGGAGACATGGCATGAAAACACGTGATTAATACTGACACTAGCAAACAATCATGGTCGTTAATTTATATCTCCAGGCTGAACCTTTTATAAAGTTCAGCAACGTTTGCTATCGTTTCATTTTCTAAGCGCACCATCGTTACTACAAGCACCGAGGTCAAAGGTCAAGAGGCCTCAGCATCTTGAGGCTTTGAGGAAAGGCAAGTTTTAAATTTAGAATTTCAAAACAAGATAATATCAGAGAGTGAAGAGGTGGGAGATTAAGAATGAAGATTAGAGACTTTTTTTTTTTCTCGAACATCTTGTATTTGCAAATGTAGTGGATAGGGTGTGTGTGTGTGTGTGTGAGTGTGTGAGCAGTATCACTTCCTCTTCCTGTGTAACAGACAAGGATGAGATGAACTATGTCATCCAAACAGCCTCTGTCTTTCTCTATCTCCCCCTCACTCTCACATCAGTCCCACGACTTTGTGAATGTGTGTGTGTGTGTGTGTGTGTTAGCGTGTGGTGCAGTCAGACAGTGCACAGAAATAGATCATGTAAAGCAGAGATTACTATCTGCACCTCAGAGCGTAGACATGTGGGCATTTAGACTTCACACAGTGTCATCGCCGTTAAAACACACACAGCACGACACATGCACAGGATGTGCGTCGGTGCCTGCAGAAAGTGCACATGCTCTAAGATGCATGTGTGTGTGTGTGTAGGTGTGTGTTTTATTGGGTTATGAGGACGTAGAAAGTGACAAATGTCAACGGCTGCTGCAGAGCTGGAAAGTGCACGTCCTTTTTTTTGAGCAGTTTGAAATGACACATCGATAAAAACTGAATGAAAAAGAAACAGTGAGTAAAAACTCTGAAACATGAGTTGTTGATTAATGTGGAAAAGATGAGTTTCGATAAAGAAAACATGTGATGAAAGTTTTTTTCCTCTCAGTTTGTTTCTCTGTTGTAAAAACAACATTTACATTAATTCTGATAAACTGATAAAAAAATTCCACATGGGAACTATCGTCTTCTTAGTCTTCTTCCTCGTTGTCTTCTTCCTCGTCTTTTTCCGTTAAGTGATATTAATTAATATTCCTGTTTTTGATGTTTCATAATAACTGTGCTGAGATCAGGTGAATGTTGAGGCCTCTGCATAAGATTCAATATAATGAATAAATAAAACAACATTCATAAACCAGTGAGACGTTGAACCCTGTGTGGAAGCCGCCCGTGTTTCTCTGCTCATTAATTCAGGTTTTTCCTTTAATTCATCATTAATCCGAATAAAATCAACGATGAAACAAGAAAACAAACAAAAGGATAATTTGTGATATTAATTATAAAAAACAACAGCGTCAAAAAAAACAAACAAGACAGATAAATGTTCAGCTGAATTTAGAAAAGAAAAAGAATGGGAAGAAATGAAGTGGAAGAAAATGAAGAGAACGAGAGAGAGAGAGAGAGGGATGGGAGCCCAAATGGATACAGACGCCATGGTAACCAGAGAGTTGGTACATTAAGAAGTGGCCAACACTGGAAAAAAATGGGTTCCTGCTCTCTGATTGGCTAAAGCCCAACCAGGAAGCGACTAAAGCACGCGCACACACACACACACACACACACACACACACACACACACACACACACACACACAGGCATACGTTCACCTCCTCCACCCCCACACAATAGTATGTTCAAATATAAAAAAAAAAGTAAAAGAAAAAATGGTTGGATGTGAAGTGGAGGAAGAAAGTGTATGTTCTGTTGCCATGGTGACCACGGCTTGGTACGATGGATGCAATGCAAGCTGTGCCCTTGACAACATCACATGGAGAGGAAGAGTTGACATACACACACACACACGCACGCACACACACACACACACACACACACACACACACACACACACTCACACACACACACACACACACACACAGGGTGAATGATGACCATATGCATTGTTGAGCAGCTGTGTCCAAATGAATGGTCTTTAGGTGAGCAGCTTCTCCTCCTCTCTTTCAATGTGTGTGTGTGTGTGTGTGTACAAATGTGTGTGTATATGTAAGAGATAACGGAGCTGCAGAATTTGAATAGCATTATGGGATACGACTGTTGCCGAGACAACAGCAGTTAGCTTGTTTCCCATTTCCTGCAGGTACCCAGAAGTCCAATGGGCTCTTTGTTTGTGAATTCAAATTACAGGGAAAGCAGTGTGTGTGTGTGTGTGTG